CACGGATGGAGGGCAGATCTTTTTCAAGACGAGGCTGTCGCCAGACACTATCTCGAAGGTTATCATCCCACTGCGTCCGTCCCTGCGAGCTGGAAGGAAAAAGGGTGGATCCCTGACTAAATGAGGTCCTGTCTGGGTGGCAGGCCCAGCGGGCGCTCGTCATTCAGGGAGGGCACTTCCCACAGTGGGAGAGAATCCTTGAAGGAACTGATGATCGTTGCAGCATCGTTGATGCATCCTGGGCCTACTCTGGTCAACCTCCTCCCTCTCCTCCTCCTCCAACTCCTCCTCCTCCTCCTCCTCCTCCTCCTCCTCCTCCTCCTCCTCCTCCTCCTCCTCCTCCTCCTCCTCGTCCTTCTCTCCCCCCCCTCCTTCCAAAAGATGAAAAGTGTGTCCTTGGCCTCTTTCGACACCCAACCTGGCTGGCGTGCCACCCCGAAGGTATTATCTGAAGGCCCTGGGACCCGAAGCTGGCACCCGAGGCCACACAAGGCGAAACACATTCTCCTCCTCCTCCTCCTCCTCCTCCTCCTCCCCTCCTCCTCCTCCCTCCCTTCCTCCTCCTCCTCCTCCCTCCTCCTCCTCCTCCTCCTCTCTCCTCCTCCGCGTCTCCTCCGCCGCGTCCTCCTCCTCCTCCTCCTCTCCCTCCTCCTCCTCGCGTCCTCCTCCTCCTCCTCCTCCTCCTCCTCCTCCTCCTCCTCCTCGTCCTCCTCCTCCTCCTCCTCCTCCTCCTCTCCTCCTCCTCCCCTCCTCCTCCTCCTCCTCCTCTCTCCTCCTCCTCCTCCTCCTCCTCCTCCTACTCTTCATACTCCATCCCTCTTCCTCCTCCTCGAACCTTTTCGCGGTCGTCGTCCCGTCCGTTTCCCCTCCGCCTCCTCCTCCCTCCTCCTCCTCCTCCTCCTCCTCCTCCTCCTCCATCATCATCATCATCATCATCATCATCATCATCATCATCATCATCATCATCATCATCATCATCATCATCATCAGCAGCAGCAGCAGCAGCAGCATCATCATCACCATCATCATCATCATCATCATCATCATCATCACATCATCAGCATCATCATCATCATCATCATCCTCATCATCATCATCATCATCATCATCATCATCATCATCATCGTCATCAGCATCATCATCATCAGCAGCATCATCATCAGCATCATCATCAGCAGCATCAGCATCAGCATCATCATCGTCATCATCATCAGCATCATCATCATCAGCATCATCATCAGCATCATCATCAGCATCATCATCATCATCATCACCATCACCATCATCAGCAGCAGCAGCATAATCATCATAAGCATCATCAGCAGCAGCATCATCAGCATCATCATCAGCATCGTCATCATCATCACCATCCTCGAGCGTAGCCGATGCGGCCAGGTCTGGAACTACCGGCGGGCGACTTGATGCCGCACCAGACGGAGGAGAGCAGTCAGGCTCCTCTGTGTGTGGCTCGCCTGAAGTACGGCTTGCATTATGTAAAGTGTGTGCAAGGGCCGGGACCGACAAACGATTGCGTGATGGGCTCATGAGACCAAGGCGCTGGACGGGGCACTACGGGAGCTGGGAACGTATCCTCCTCATTCTCTTCCTCCTCCTGCTCTGCCTGTTGGGACCTCGGATCTCAGTTTCGAGCTTAACTCGGATGTCTGGGGAGAGCTGGCCGAAGCGGCCAAGGAGGAGGGCGTTCAGCCCTTCGAGGGAGTTCCCGGGGTGGTCCCTGCGGTGGTGGCTGCCTCGTATTCCTCGCTCATGCCGCCTCCGCCGCCGCCGCCCCCTCCTCTGGCCCCTCCTGCTGCTGCTGGTGTTGCCTCGGGGTCTAGATATCCAGGACTGTGTGGGGCTGCCATGAGCGCTCAACTTTCACTCGAAATCTGCGGGTCTTCGGTGCACAAGAATGCTCGGTCGGGTGAGGGGCTGGACGGGGTGTGCCGTGGAAGGGATGCGCCATGCCTGCGGACTCAGCGTTCCCTCCTCCATCGAAGTCTGATGCCAGGGCGCCTGAAGGCGAGGATCGTGGACGTCCGCGCCCCGTCAGGTGCCGACATCGAGGCCTGGACGGGCCGCTTCCCCTCCCTCGCAGGAGGCTCGGGGCGGCAGGAGGCAGGAGGTGGAGTCTCCGTCAGATGCTCCTGCGGCCAGTGTGGTCAGGTACGGCACTGCTGTGCCGCTCCTTGACGATCGACTGGTCGCCCAGCTGCATGGTTTTGAGTCCCCCTCTGCGGCTTGGGAATTCGCTCGGACCCTGAAGGAGAGGGGTGACCCTGAACGGTTTGAGGGCTTTTTCGAGGATCCTGCATAAGCAGGCCGCTTCTCCGAGGAGAGGGGGCCAGGACCCTGCCCCATGTAGTCAGCACACGCAGCAAACCTCCTCCTCTGCCTCCGCCGCGTCGCGGGCTAGGGGGGCAAGGGTGTCCCCTGCATAGCGTCAACGGGCTGTTGGGAGCACTGATCCCCGGCAGGCGCCAGAGGATACGGAGGATGATAACGAGAAGGAGAGGGATGATGGTGATGATAACGACGATGGTCCTGATGGTGCTGATGGAGATGGCGATGATTATGACGATGATGATGATGATGATGATGATGATGATGATGCTGATACTGATGATGACGACGGTGATGATGATGATGATGATGCTGATGTTGATGATGATGATGATGCTGATGATGATGATGATGGTGATGATGGTGGCGATGATGCTGATGGTGATGGTGGTAATGATGATGGTGGGGATGGTGGCGATGGTGATGGTGATGGTGATGATGATGCTGGTGGTGGTGATTGTGATGATAATGATGGTGGTGGTGATGAGTGCGTTGGTGGTGATGATGGTGATGATGGTGATGAGTGTGATGATGGTGAGGGTGGGGCGATGGTGATGATGACCCTGATGACGGTAGTGAGGAGGACGAGGAGGCCAATGGTGATAACGGTCACGGCAATGATGACGAGGAGCAGCAGGGGCCGCGGTTCGGCGGCGGGCCTGCGGTCGCGGGGGGGGGGGTCCTCGTCCGCCAGCTGCAAAAGCAACCCATCGGTGGTGACGTCGGCCCCTGCGGCGGCTAGTACTACTAATACAGCCACGACAACGACAAGTGCGACGACTAGTATTATTACTACTGCTGCTGCTGCTACTACTACTACTACTACCACCACTACAACTACTACTACTACTACTACTACTACTACTACTACTACTACTACTACTACTACTACTACTACTACTACTACTACTACTACTACTACTACTACTACTACTACTACTACTACTACTACTACTACTACTACTACTACTACTACTACTACTACTACTACTACTACTACGGCGACTACGACTACAACTACTAACTACACTACTACTACTACTACTACTACTACTACTACTACTACTACTACTACTACTACTACTACTACTACTACTACTACTACTACTACTACTACTACTACTACTACTACTACTACTACTACTACTACTACTACTACTACTACTACTACTACTACTACTACTACTACTACTACTACTACTACTACTACTACTACTACTACTACTACTACTACTACTACTACTACTACTACTACTACTAACTACTACTACTACTATATACTGCGACTACAAGTACGACTTCTAACTACTACTACTAGGACTACTACTACTACACTACTACTACTACTACTACTACGACTACTAACTACTTACTACTACTACTACGACTACTACTACTACTACTACTACTACTATACTACTACTACTACTACTACTACTACTACTACTACTACCTACTACTACTACGCTACTACTACTACTACGACTACATCTACGACTACGGCTACTACTACTACGACTACTACTACTACTCTTACTACTACTACTACTACTACTACTACTACTACTACTACTACTACTACTACTACTACTACTACTACTACTACTACTACTACTACTACTACTACTGCTACTAATATTACGACTACTACGACTACTACTACGCCTACCACTACGACTACGACGACGACGACGACGACGACGACGACGACGACGACGACGACGACGACGACGACGACGACTACTACTACTACCACTACTACTACTACTACTACTATTACTACTACTACTGCTGCTGCTGCTGCTGCTGCTGCTGTTGCTGCTGCCGCTGCTACTACGACTACACCTACAAGTACTACTACAACCACTACTACGACGACGACGACGACGGCGTCTGCTACTACTACTACTACTACTACTACTACTACTACTACTACTACTACTACTACTACTACTACTACTACTACTATTACGACGACAACGACGACCCATCGCCCTCCATGACCGCCTCCTCCTTCTCATCATCGTCATCATCATTGCAGGCATCACTTAAACCATCCTCAATAGCAACCGCAACATCAACCTCACCACCCTCATCAATTACAACAACCGGATAGTCATCAACCAGGTCATCCACATCCTCATCATCATAGGTACCAGCCACATAGTTACAATCACCATCACCACCATCATAATCATTTTCATTATCATCTCCCTCTCTCCCCTCCGAGTCACCACCATAATTAACACGAGCCCCGTTGCTGCCATGTTCGCCAACGTCATCGTCGTCGTTATCATCATCATCATCACCACCAGAGTCATCATCATCATCATCATCATAATCATCATCATCATCGCCAGCACCATCATAATCACGATGACCACCACCACCATCGTCATCATCATCACAATCATCATCATCATCATCATCACCATCATCATTATCATACTTATCATCAGCATCGTCATCATCGTCATCGTCATGGTCATCGTCGTCGTCATCGTCATAGTCACCGTCGTTGTCATCGTCGCCATCCTCGTCCTCCTCGTCCTCCTCCTCCTCCTCCTCCTCCTCCTCCTCCTCCTCCTCCTCGGGGGCCCGCCAGGGATCAGCGCGCCCACCAGCTCGTCGACGCTGGACAGGGGCACCCTCGCCACCTGAGCCGCGGCCGCGACGGAGGCAGCAGGAGGGAGGACGACGACGACGACGACGACGACGAGGTTCGAAGGTTTCGCCATCTTCGGCCACTGGGGAAGTCGTCCCAGAGTGAGAAACTTGGCAGGTTTGACCCCTGGAAGGGTCCGAGAACAGATGTTGACTATATTTTCGGGGAGGTAGGAGGAAGAGGAAGAGGGAAACCAATGCAAACTCAAGACTCATCAACGGTATTGCAATAAACTCTCCCTCCAAGCTCCCTCTGAACCGGCCCGTACAAGGATTCATTCTCACTGAGGGAAATGTCCCGTTGGAAGACAATCATTCAAAAATCCAGAATTGTGCAAGAACGCCATTGCTTGGACTTCAACGCCACGAACCAAACTGACTGTTGTGTCTTGACGATCCTGCATCTTGCCAAACACCATTCCTGGGACTCCAACACCGCGAATCACCGGTTTTGCTGCGTCTTGACGACCCTGAATCGTGCCAAAGCACCACACCCGGATCTCAGCACCGCGAATCAACGTGACTGTTGCGCCCTGGCATTCCGACATCGTGCCAAAACACAATGTCTGGGACGTTAACCATGAGAATCCTTGAAACTGCGGCAAACTCTTAATTGAGACGAATTTGCGCAGCGCTATATTGAGAGCACATTTTGAAAAGGAGCTGCCCTCCATACATGAAATCGTGCGAGGCGCTAATACGAGAGCCACATGTTGAAAAGGAACCGCACCCCAACCGCGAAACTCTTGCAATGGTTTAGAAGATGTGCGTGGCGCGAGGGCGAGAGCCACATTTTGAAAACGGCCCGCCCTCCATCCGCGAAACTCTTGAAACTGTTCAAGACGAATGTGCGCGGCGCTGAGGCGAGAGCTGCATTTTGAAAGCTGGCCGCCCTCCATCCGCGAAGTTCTTGCAATTGTTGAAATCCGAATGCGCGCAACGCCCAGGCGAGAGCAACATTTTGAAAGCGGGCCGCCCTCCATCCCTGAAACGGTTGCAAACTCTAAGCTTCAGGACCATGCAATCTGCGGAAGTCTGAAGCGAAACGTCCGGCCCCACCCTTTCGGCCGGCCTCGGAGTGCGACATGGAGGAGGAGGAGGAGGAGGAGGAGGAGGAAGAAGAAGAAGAAGAAGGGAGGGAGCAGGAGGAGGTAGTGGTGGAGGAGGAGAGCAGGAGGAAAGGAGGGGGATCCAGAAGAAGGAGAAGCAGGAGGAGGATGAAAAGGAAGATCCACGAGAAGGAGGAGCAGGAGGAGGAGAGGGATCAAAGACCGAGGTCTCGGGATGTCTTTGGGGGTCTTCTCGGGCCTCCACGAGCGCCATCGCCGCCACGCCCCGGGTTCTGGCCAGAGCGCACCCCAGGACGGCTCCTTGGGCCGACCCTGAGGTCTGAAGCAGCAGCCCAGAGAAGAATGTCCGGATGTCGTATCGAGCGACAGCGATTCTCTAGGACAGCATTGGATGGCTGTCCTCGCCGTCCCCACACGAGTGTACTGACCGTTCGGGGACCGTGGCCAAGACCACACGAAGGGAGGGAGGAGGAGGAGGAGGAGGAGAAGGAGGAGAAGGAGGAGGAGGACAAGTGCAAACACAAGACTCATCAACGATGTTGGAATAAACCCTCCGTCCAAGTCACAGGCCCCTACAAGGATTCATTTCCACTGAGGGAAATGCCCCGTTGGGGGACAACCGTTTGAAGATCCTGAAGTGTGCCAAAACACCATTCTCTCGACTCCAACGCCACGAACCAACCTGACTGTTGCGTCTTGACGACCTGAATCGCGCCAGGACGCTATTCCTGGGACTTCATCACCGCAAACGTAAGTGTTGCGTCTTGACATTGCTGAGTCGCTCCAAAAACACATGTTCTGCTACGTTAGGTCCGCGAGAGCGCGCCCACAGTGACGGAGCAAAGGGGGGGGGTCCCCCCTTAGCTACCCCCCCCCTCCCTTGAACCCCCCCTGCTGGAAGCTACCTCCCCCTCCCTGTTTTCGTCCGCCACTGGAAGCTACCCCCCCCCCCCTTTCGGCGGTTGGAAGCTACCCCCCCCCTCCCCCCTTTCCAAAGGGGGGGGGGGGGGGGGCTTAGCCCCTCCCCCCCTCCTTGGCCCCCCTCTGCCGGAAGCCCCCCCCTCCTCCCCTCTTTTTTGTCCCCCCCCCCAGAAGCTGCTCCTCCCCCTCCCCCCCTTCTGCCGCTCCGGAAGCTCCCCCCTTCCCCCACTTTCCAAAGGGGGAGGGCTTAGCTACCCCCCCCTTTGAACCCCCCTGCTGGAAGCTACCACCCCCTCCCTTGAACTCCCCCTGCCGGACGATCCTCCCCCGTCGCCGTCGTCGTTGCCGTCGCCGTCGTTTCCGACGTCTTCGTACGACGCCGTCGTCGTCCTCGTCGTCATTGTCGCCGCCGTCGCCGTCATTGTCGCCGTCTTCGCATGACCTCGTCGTGGTCGTCACGACGAGGACGAGGTCATACGAAGACGGCGACGGACGACGGACGACGCACGACCGACGACGACGACGACGACGACGACGACACGGGGTCAGAGAAAACGAGACCACGACCCAGGGGCTGAGAAAACGAAGAAACAAAGCAGGGTCCGAGAAAACGAGACCACGGCCCAGGGGCCGAGAAAACGAGAAAATTAACCAAGGTCCCAAAAAAGGACCAGGGTCAGAGAAAACGCGACCACGACCCAGGGGCCGAGAAAACGCGAAAACGAACCAGGGTCCGAGAAAACGAAACCACGACCCAGGGGCCGACAAAACGAGATAACGAGAAAACAAACCAGTGCCCGAGAAAAGGAAACCACGACCCAGGGTCCGAGAAAACGAGACAACGAGAAAACGAACCAGGGCCCGAGAAAGTGAGATCACAACCCAAGGGCCGAGAAAACGAGAAAAACGAGAAAACGAACCAGGGCCTGAGAAAACAAAACAAAAACCCAGAAGCCAAGAAAACGAGAAAACGAGACAAAGAACCAGGGTCCGAGAAAACACGATAACCCCAGGGGCCGAGAACAGGAGAAGACAATAAAACAAACCAAGGTCCGAGCAAACGAGACCACGATCCAGGCCGAGAAAACGCGAATACCGGTCCTAGAAAGATCACGACCCAGGAGCCGAGAAAACGAGAAAACGAAAAAAGGAATCAGGGCCCGAGAAAACGAGACTACGAACTAGGGGCCGAGAAAACGAAGCAACGAGAAAACAAACCAGCGTCCGAGAAAACGAAACCGCGACCCAGGGGCCGAGAAAACGAGACAACGAGGAAAAGGACAAGGGCCCGAGAAAACTGGACCACGACCCAGACGCCGAGAAAACAAGAAACGAGAACACGAACCAGGGCCAGAGAAAATGGGACCACGACACAGGGGCAGAGAAAACGAGAAAACGAACCAGGGTCAAAAAAAAACGAGAACACGACCCAGGGGCAGAGAAAACGAGAAAACAAGAAAACGAACCATGGCCCGAGAAAACCAAATCACGACCCAGGGGCAGAGAAAGCGAGAAACCGAACCAGGGTCAAAAAAAGAAGACCACGACCCAGGAGCCGAGAAAACACGAACACGAGAAAACAAAACGGGGTCCGAGAAAACGAGACCACGACCAAAGGGGCAGAAAAAACTAGAAAACGATCAAACAAACCAGGGTCCGAGCCAGGGGCCGAGAAAACGAGACCACGACCCAGGGGCTGAGAAAACGAAGAAACGAAGCAGGGTCCGAGAAAACGAGACCACGGCCAAGGGCCGAGACAACGAGAAAACGAACCAGGGTCCAAAAAAACGGACCAGGGTCAGAGAAAACGCGGACACGACCCAGGGGCCGAGAAAACGCGAAAACGAACCAGGGTCCGAGAAAACGAAACCACGACCCAGGGGCCGACAAAACGAGATAACGAGAAAACAAACCAGTGCCCGAGAAAAAGGAAACCACGACCCAGGGTCCGAGAAAACGAGACAACGAGAAAACGAACCAGGGCCCGAGAAAGTGAGATCACAACCCAAGGGCCGAGAAAACGAGAAAAACGAGAAAACGAACCAGGGCCTGAGAAAACAAAACAAAAACCCAGAAGCCAAGAAAACGAGAAAACGAGACAAAGAACCAGGGTCCGAGAAAACACGATAACGACCCAGGGGCCGAGAACAGGAGAAGACTACAAAACAAACCAAGGCCCCAGCAAACGAGACCACGATCCAGGCCGAGAAAACGCGAATGTCGGTCCTAGAAAGATCACGACCCAGGAGCCGAGAAAACGAGAAAACGAAAAAAGGAATCAGGGCCCGAGAAAACGAGACTACGAACCAGGGGCCGAGAAAACGAGGCAACGAGAAAACAAACCAGCGTCCGAGAAAACGAAACCGCGACCCAGGGGCCGAGAAAACGAGACAACGAGAAAACGAACCAGGGTCCGAGAAAACGGGACCACGACCCAGACGCCGAGAAAACAAGAAACGAGAACACGAACCAGGGCTAGAGAAAACGAGACCACGACACAGGGGCAGAGAAAACGAGACCACGGCCCCGGGGCTGAGAAAACGAAGAAACGAAGCAGGGTCCGAGAAAAAAAAAAAAAAAAAAAAAAAAAAAAAAAAAAAAAAAAAAAAAAAAAAAAACGAACCATGGCCCCAGAAAACCAAACCACGACCCATGGGCCGAGAAAGCGAGAAAACGAACCAGGGTCAAAGAAAAGAAGACCACGACCCAGGAGCCGAGAAAACAAGAAACGAGAACACGATCCAAGGCCAGAGAAAACGAGACCACGAAACAGGGGCAGAAAAAAGTAGAAAACGATCAAACAAACCAGGGTCCGAGCCAGGGGCCGAGAAAACAAGAAAACGAGAAAACGAACCAGGGTCCGAGAAAAAAGACCACGACCCAGGGGACGATAAGACAAGAAAGCAAGACAACGAATCAGGGTCAGAGAAAACGAGACCACAACACAGGGGCCGACAAAACAAGAAAACAAGACAAAGGAAAAGGTGCCGAGAAAACGAAAC